AGCAAATAAACCCACACTTAAATACACCTGGGTAAAGCTGTCTTCAGTGATTTAAAATTGATGCGTCTAGACAAGACTCTGCCCCTCGCTTTTCAGTCCAGTAAATTGTGTGTTTCCTCGTTGCAACGTAAAATCAGAGCAAGGATTTATAATGGCTGTGTTATATTCTAGGGTTATTTGAGCTATTGCAGATTTAAAATGCGTCATGAGAATGCACTGAAGCCCAGCTGTGGCCATGGTAGAAGAGGTCAGCGCTGCCAGGGTCATGAGGGAGGGTTGAGGGGTGGGGGGGAGCTTCAGGGCGGTGGAATCCGTGAGATGCTGCGATGGTGGACACACGGCCATGCGTTATCCAAACCCACGGAACTTCGGGGGCAAACAGCAAAGCTCAATATATGCAAAACTAAGTTAATCGGGAGGGTGGGGAGTCCCAGGGTGGAAGCAGAAATGTGGGGGAACTATGGGCTGCGGGGGCGGGGAGGTGAGGGTTCTGTCCTGGGGGCACCACCCTGGAAGGAAGGAGATGCGGCTTCCTCTCCTGGGCTAGAGCACCACCAGGAACCTCGGATTTTCTGTCACTCCTCCTGGTTTTCTCCAAAGAGCAGCGTTCAGCCCTCTGTGGAAATGGCCACACATGTCAGGTGGTGGACGCGAGCACACAGGGCACAGAGGACTAACTGGGGCCACTGTCCTGCTTGGCCCTGCTTGGCCCCTCTGGTCCTTGGCACCTCATCTCTAGAATGGACTAATGTGAGCACCTGCTGTGGAGGAGGGCAATGAGGTGAGAGACTGAGCACTCAGTGTGCTCTCATGATGTGGGAGCTTTGCACAGTGGCCACAGAAGGCACACTCCTCCACCTCGAGAGATTCTATTTACACTCATTCACCCACCCACCTGTGCACCCATCAACCCACCCATCCATCCACCCATCTATCCATCCATCCATCCATCCATCCATCCATCCATTCATCCATCCATCCCCTCATCTATCCATCCATCCATCCATCCACATCCACTCATCCATCCACTCAGCTATCCATCCATGCATTCATCCATGCATCCATCCATCCACTCATCTGTTCATCCATCCACTCATCTGTCCATCCATCCATCCATCCATCCACTCATCTGTCCATCCATCCATCCATTCATCCATCCATCCATCCATCCATCCATCCATCCATTCATCCATCCACTCAGCTATCCATCCATGCATTCATCCATGCATCCATCCATCCACTCATCTGTCCATCCATCCACTCATCTACCCATCCATCCATCCATCCATCCATCCATCCATCCATCCATCCACATCCACTCATCCATCCACTCAGCTATCCATCCATGCATTCATCCATGCATCCATCCATCCACTCATCTGTCCATCCATCCACTCATCTGTCCATCCATCCATCCATCCATCCACTCAGCTATCCATTATCCATCCATCCATCCATCCATCCATCCATCCATCCATCCACTCATCTGTCCATCCATCCATCTATCTCATCCATCCATCCACCGTCCACCCACCCACCTACCCACCAAGAAGCAAAGTTACTGATCACGTTGACTGTGAAGTTGACCCACAGAGAAGCCCACATAGGCGGCTGCCCTCCAGGCACGGACAGCAGGCTGGCCGGCAGTGGTCACAGAGGTGATGAGGACAATGGTCAGGGCCAGGGCATGACACTTGGACCCGGCCTTGAGGTGAGGTGACTGCCTGAAGGTGGCTGCTCCTCTGAAGCACAGTGAGGAGCCTGGGCCAAGATGTCCAGCCTATTGCTGGCTCTGCCCACGCTCACCTGGAACTAACTCCTGTGTGCCTACCTGCCCACCCTTCACACACGGTGAGGGCTTTGATGTCCTGGCTGTGAAAGCCTTGCAGGCGAGGGGGGGAAATGGGGGACCTGGGCCTGCACACCCCAAAGTCTTCCAGAACCTTTGAAGGTGCAGGAGGGGGACATCTTGAGGAGGACTTGAGGAGAGCTTGGGCATGCCTGATGTTCTGTTTGCCCACCGTGGGTCCCCAGATGCCTACCTGCCAAGGACCCTGTCCCCATGGCTGGCTGGGGCTGGGGTGTCCAGAGGGGCTCACCCTCCATCTATCCACTGGGGCCAGGCCAGAGCTATGGAGCTGAGGTTGAGCCCAGGGTCTGAGAAAGGCATTTGTATATATATGTGCATATATGAGAGGGAGGGAGGGGGGGGGAGAGAGAGAGAGAGAGAGAGAGCGAGAGAGAGAGAGAGAGAGAGAACGCCCCAGGAAAGCTGATGTTTCAGTACAGTTGGAGACCATTTGGAGGGCAAGTTCCTTCGTCTTCGGGGACTTTGGTCTTTTCTAAGCCTTCAACTGATTGGACGAGGCCCACCCACGACATGGAGGGTTATCTGCTCACATCTAAAAAAATACCTTCACAGAAACCTCCAGACTTGTGTTTGACAAAAAACTGGGTACCATGGCCTGGCCGAGGTGGCCCAGGTGACAACTTGGAAATGAACCATTGCAGGAGGTGACAGCATGGGCGGGGCTGGGGACACAGCTGTAGTCCTCAGGGCTCTGGCAGCTGCGGGGCCCCCTCTTCTCCCCAACCTTTCTTCTTCCTCCACACCTCTCCTCCCTTCCTCCTCTTCCCGCTTCCCCTCTCCTCCTCCACTCCGAGGCTCACCCCCACACTCCCACTTCCTGATGACTCAGGGTTTGTGGACAGAACGCCATGGAACAGTCATTTTAGGCTGTTGCGTGACGTCTTTGGGGCCTCCTCCCTGTGGTCAGTGTCAGGGCAAACACTGCTGGGTGTGGGGCTTGGCGGGGGAGGCACAGGGCGTGCGCTGGGCTCTGGGCCCCGGGCAGCCCCGGGCAGGTTCTGGCTATGGCTGGGCAGGCGTCTGGGGGCCCTTGGGCATCACATCCGTGTCCAGAGAGAGGCCTCACCCAGCATTTCCTCAACTGTCTCCCTGTGCGGAGGACAGGAGGTCCCCCGATGGGGGAGGGACGCCCAGCTGCAGGGAGGGGAGGTTGCTGGGCACACAGCCACCCACTCCCAGCTGCATGTTAGCAGTGACAAGGCCTGTGTCTAAGGACACCCAGGGTCCGACCCCTGTCCGGACCCTTCCTAGTTTGTTTCTGTCCTCTGTCTTGGAGCCCGCACCCCACTGCCTCACCTGTCAGGGGCGTCCTGACCCCCTGAGGACCGACCAGGGATCGGATAGTGGGGCTGAGCCTAGGAAGCGAGTCTCAGACTCTGCTGGGGGTGGGTGGACCCTGTCGCCTGGCCTGACGGAGCCCTCACCACCGTCTTTCACCAGATCTGTGGCCGTGCCCACCCTGGCCAGTGGCCTGTCACTGTGCACTGGCCCCTCCCCAGGACTCTGAGACTGGGCCAGGGGCCAGGAGGGCTGTTAGGGTCAGACCCCTGGGCCTCGGGTCCTCGCCACTGCCCCATCCAAAGGGGCCATAGGGCTGACCTCAGACCCTGAGACCTTCACCCTTTCAACCCCGGGGAAGTCCCGCTTCTAGACGGGCCAGGAGGGCTGCGCTGTGTCCTGTGCCAGCCAGGATCTCTCCAGTCCCACTGGGCAGGGGAGCCTGGCATGGATGATCACCGTCCCTGGGCCGAGGAGTTACCCCAGGGCTCGGAGCCAGCCGTGCGGGCCCCACAGGGAAGACACACAATGGCCACTGCGCCGGCTCTGGTTTCTAATCCCTGCTCCTCCTGGTCCCGCCACACCCTCGGACTCCCCCACCTGCCGGGTCCCTGGGTCTCTGAGCCTGGGCTGGGGGCACGGTGGGACGGGACACGGGGCAGCATCCCAGACCCCCTGGGAGGTGCCAGCCCCACACTCTGACCCCAGGTCACTGCCTCTGAGGAAGCCTGGGTCCCGCGCCAGAGCCCCAGCAACTGTTGAGATGGATCTCCCACGTCCCCCCATAATTCAGGGCCCCCCAGGACCCAAGCTGGCTGTCCACACTCTCACTGGCCCATCAGAAGCCACATCCAGGATCCTCATGTGTTCCGGGCGGAAGGGGGTGTGGGAAGGGGGCCTCTGACCTCAGCACCTACCAGCTACCTGGGCCACCTGTGCCCTCCTGGGTGAGCCTCGGGGCTGGACAGACTGAGATGCCACAGCACAGTCCTTGAGCATTTCCGGGTGAGCTGCGGGCCGGCTCGGAGGGTCTGGGACTCATCAGAGACGCAGCTCACCTCTTTGGGGCGAGGGGTGTGGCCCAGGAGGCCCAGCATGGCCACTGTCCCAGGGAGGCTGGGGCGGGGTCCGCGCGAGGGGCGCCTCCCATGGCTGAAGTTCTGACACCTGCCTGGGGCCCTTTCTGGGACCGCAGCCCCACTCCCCTGGGGGACAGCAACGTGGTTCTTTGAAGGTCCCCTGGCAGGGCTCCCCGAGTTCCAATTACATACACCCCCTGAGATGGGATCAGCACAAGGAAGGGGTTAGAGGTGGGCTGGTGTGGGGCTGGCTGGAGCAGGGCCCCTCATCTGTGGGCAGCACCCCATAGGGGCCACACCTTTGCTGTCCCTGGAGAGCAGGGCCCTCACCCCGCTCCACTCTGGGCTGCGCCCTGTGGGGGCGCTGGGGCAGGGTCTTCCAGGGGCGCCTCAGGGAAGCACCCCGTTGCAGCCGCGGGGAGTGGGGGTGCTGCAGGACATGCTTCCGGCAGGACATCCCCGCCCTTCTGGTCCCGCACGTCCCTGGGAGGGACGGAGGTCTGCTGGGTGTGTTGGGACCAGGGTAATTGAGGAGGAGAGGAGATTTACCCAGGGAGATAAATAAATAAAAAAGACAAATCTCAGATAACTGAATCAATATTTCCCCACCGTGGCCCACAGGTCCCCACAGCTGTTTTCTTGACAATTCGGCACACACCCCACCCACCCCTCGCCCCTCCCCGGCCACCCCCGCCCCCTGGCCGCCCTGCTGGGCCATATAAGGCCTGGACCCCGGCCCTGAGCGCTCTCCCTCACTACCCTGCCCAGTCACCATGGGGCAGCCACTGGCCTGCCTGGTGGCCCTGTGCCTGGCCCTGACCTCGGCCAGGGGCGTGGAGCTGCATAGAGGTGAAGGCGGTGGCGGTGTGTCCTGGGGCTCAGGGAGGCCAGGCAGCATGAGCGGACACCCAGCCTGGGGGTAGAAAGTGGTCCTCGTCTGCTCAGACCTCAGGGTGACCAGCCTGGTGGGGCATCTGACAGCCCCCACCCTGCTGACTTTGGGTGGAAGGGAGGGAGGGAGGGAGGGAAGAAGGAACGACATAGGGAGGAAAGACAGGTGGTCTTGAGGGCGAGGGGTGTGGCCTTTAAAGGTGACCACCTGGGGCCATCCCTGGTGGAAACAGCCAACCGGGCTGTTGTCTGAGTGTAGGGCAGGCAGGGTGGCCAGGAGGGGCCGGGCTCTCGGACCTCAGTCGCAGGTATCGGGGCCCTTGGAGGGGCCAGGCCAGGTGTGTGGCCAGCTGCAGAAGGGGTCACTTCAAGTGGAGGAGACTGGGAACCTGAGATGGGGGCATCTCTGTCCAAGCAGGGCTGGGTGACAGGGTCCAGCAGGGGCCCCTCCTGCCGGACGATGCTCCCTGGGCCCTGGGCTGAGACCCCAGGGCTCCAGACCCTCGCAGGGCCGCTGCCGGCCAGGTGCTGGGTGGCTCCTGGGTGCTCAGCCTCTGTCCTCGCCGCTCCCCAGAGGGCAGAGCCCGCAACCACGGCCACGCCGTCTGCAGCACCTGGGGCGACTTCCACTACAAGACCTTCGACGGCGACGTCTACCGCTTCCCCGGCCTCTGCGACTACAACCTGGCCTCTGACTGCCGAGGCGCCTACAAGGAGTTTGCGGTGCACCTGAAGCACAGTCCCGGCCGCGGCGGGGGCCTCCCCCAGGTCGAGTACATCCTGCTGACCGTCAAGGACGACACCATCTACCTCACCCGCCAGCTGGTGGTGGTGAACGGGGCCATGTGAGTGGGGTGGGCGGCGCCCCCTCCCAGGCCCTGGAAATGGGGGCCATGGCCCCTGCGAGCCCCCGCGGTCCCCCTTATTGGAGGAGTTTGCTGGGTTTGAGTCTGGGTCACTGATTGACTCACTGAACACAGGAGCCCCCAGGGGCCACGGACGGGGGGGTGCTCAGTGCTTATGAATCCTGCCAGGCTCCCACCGTCCCTCTGCCCAGGGCCCAGCGGGTGGTGGCATCCTGGCCTGGGTGGCCTGGCACGGTCAGGAGGAGGCCTGTACCCTGAGACCCCAGGCTAATGTTGCACAAGCACCTCCCCCCCCCCCCCCCCAGGGATCGTCCCTGCATTGTCTCCGGGACAATGGGCTCTAAGTACATTCCTGCCCAGCGGGTTCCCCACCTGCAGGTCTGGCTGCAGCCCAGGTGGCCGGGCCTGGGTGGGGTGGGCACAGGGCCCCAGGAGGCGCCGAGTGTGTGGGAGCACAGTGCCTGTTTGGGGTGGGCAGGGGCCGGAGCAGCCCCTAACTGGACAGAGCTTGCCCTCCGTCCCCCGGGGCCCGGGGAGCCCTGCCCAGGACAGGAGGGTGTGCGGAGGGGGGCAGGCAGGGAGCGGCTCCCCTGCAGGAGCCGCCCAGCCCAGGTGGACGGGCGTCAGGGTCATGCAGCCTCTGAGGACAGTGGTCCCATGTGGCCCCAGGGTGAGAGCCAGCCAAGCCTGCCCCTCTGGGCCGCGGGGCAGGAGAGGACCGGTGGGTGGCTGCGTGGGCTGGCACCCGACTCCTCCGTGTCCCCAGGGTCAGCACCCCGCACTACAGCTCTGGGCTGCTCATCGAGAAGAACGACGCCTACACCAAGGTCTTCTCCCGCGCCGGCCTGTCTCTCCTGTGGAACCGGGAGGACGCGCTCATGGTGGGTGCCGGGGCGCAGGGTCCAGGGTGGGCTCGGAGCGCCTGCGGCCTCTGACTGTGCTGGCAGGTTAGCGATGGGCAGAGACGTGGCCACGGAACCCGCCCAACGTGGGGCCCTCGGGGGTCGGCGGAGACCCTCAGTGACGCTGGGACCTTCCGCTGAGCCCGACGCCCAGCCATGCACACCAGGCCGGGAGGTGGCCTGGCTCTGGGGGGCTGGCCGGCGGCCCGGTGGCCCTGGCTGCTCACCGCCCCTCCCCCCGACAGCTGGAGCTGGACGGTAAATTCCGGAACCACACCTGTGGCCTCTGCGGTGACTACAACGGCCTGCAGACCTACTCCGAGTTCCTCTCCGACGGTGAGGCTCCTGCAGGCTTGGCGGGCAGCGGGGTGCAGGCTCCCGGCGCCCCCTTGACGGCTGTGCCCACCCCCAGGTGTGCTCTTCAGTGCCATCGAGTTCGGAAACATGCAGAAAATCAGCAAACCTGACATGGTGTGCGACGACCCGGAGGAGGAGGAGCCGGCCCCCAAGTCCTGCTCTGAGCACGTGAGTCACCGACGGGCCTGGACCCCACCCCGTCCCCGCCCCGCGCAGGGCAGGAGCGTTTCCCAGGATGGGGCCCCGTCTGGGAGGTGCTCCTCGCCCCCGGAGCCCCACACCTGCGGCCCCCGGGCATCGAGGCTGGGAGGCGGGTGTGAGCGGCCGGCCCCGGCCCACCGCTGTGTCTGCCCCCCAGTTTGCGGAGTGTGAGCGGCTGCTGACCGCCGTGGCCTTCGAGGGGTGCCTGAGCCTGGTGCCGCTGGAGCCCTACCTGCAGGCCTGTGCCCAGGACCGCTGCCAGTGCCCGGCCGGGGCCTCCTGCGTCTGCAGCACCATCGCCGAGTTCTCCCGCCAATGCTCGCACGCCGGCGGGCGGCCCGGGAACTGGAGGACGGCCTCGCTCTGCCGTAAGCGTCCGGGGTCCAGAGGGCAGGGCCGCGGGGTGGGAAGGTCCTGGGGAGGGCGGCCGGCTGTCCTGGTCGGAGCCTCTTCCACGGGCCCGGGAGGTGGCCTGGGCCTGGGTGCAGGGCAGACAGACAGACCAGGGCCGGAGGCAGGGCCCTCTGCGTGCAGCCCTGCCCTGCCCGCGCCCCCCACCGCGCGGGCCCTCGGCTCAGGGGTCTGCCGCTGCCCTTCCAGCCAAGACGTGCCCCGGGAACATGGTGTACCTGGAGAGTGGCTCGCCCTGCATGGACACCTGCTCACACCTGGAGGTCAGCAACCTGTGTGAGGAGCACCGCATGGACGGCTGCTTCTGCCCGGAAGGTAGGCGTGGCGGCCGGCAGGCGGCCAGCGTGGGGGCGCTGCCCTGAGGTGGCCATGCGGCCTGTGTGCCTCCTCAGGCTTGAGGGGACCGTGGGGGGCACGATGGCCAGGAAGTGAGACTGGGGGCCTTGCCCTCCAAGAATCGGGGCTCAGGGGGAGGGGACACAAATGCTGGGCCCCCCACACATAGTGTCGGGTGGGGCACCTTCCTGGTGACCACCCCGTGCACAGACCTCCTGCCCGGCCCATGGAGCGGGAGGTTCCCGGGAAGGGGCCGGACACTCACATGCGGAAGGTACCTGACCAGACGCCGAGGGGACTTCAGTGTCACTGAAAAGACCAGAGGGCCTGGGGGGGGGCCCGGCTGGCAGCTCTGCCGGGGGCGTCCCGGCTGAGTGGCGTCCCCCGCGCTGTCCCAGGCACGGTGTACGATGACATCGGGGACAAGGGCTGCATCCCGGTGAGCGAGTGTCCCTGCAAACTGCACGGACGGCTGTACGCGCCCGGCCAGCAGGTCAGCGAGCGCTGTGAGGAATGGTGAGTCCGGGGCCGGGCCGGGGGGCGGGCGGGCGCCCAGCGTGCCGCCGAGCCCGCCCCGAGCCCGACGCTGTGCCCACCGCCCGACAGCGTCTGTGCCGGCGGCCGCTGGGCCTGCAAAGACCTGCCGTGTCCCGGGACCTGCGCCCTGGAGGGCGGCTCCCACATCACCACCTTTGACGGGAAGAAGTACACCTTCCACGGGGACTGCTACTACGTGCTGACCAAGGTGGGCCCTCCCCCCAGGAGCGCGTGGGCGCAGCGGGGGCCCCCCACGTGCTCACTGCAGCCCCTGCCTTCCGCAGAGCGACCAAGAGGACTCCTTCGCCCTCCTGGGCGAGCTGGCCCCCTGCGGCTCCACCGACAAGCAGACCTGCCTGAAGACTGTGGTGCTGCTGGCAGACAGAAAGAAGAATGTGGGTACCCCTCCCCGCCCCTCCTGCCCCCACCGGGTCCCGAGGCCCTTCTTAGCCCGCCGTCCCCTTGGTGTTCCCCACAGGTGGTGGCCTTCAAGTCGGACGGCAGCGTGCTGCTGAATGAGCTGCAGGTGAACCTGCCGCATGTGACAGGTGAGTCCCGCCCTGGGGCCCGAGGGTGGAGGGCGGCGGGTGCCCTCGGCCCTCAGGCCCCAACGGCCCTGCCTTGCAGCGAGCTTCTCCATCTTCCGGCCCTCCTCTCACCACCTGGTGGTCAGCACGGCCTTTGGCCTCAGGCTGCAGATCCAGCTGATGCCTGTCATGCAGCTCTTCCTGACCCTGGACCAGGCCGCCCAGGGCCGCGTGCAGGGTGAGTGACCCCGCTGGGCTCCCCGCGGAGCCTGCGCTCAGACCTGCCCGCCGGCCCCTGCCCTGCCCCCAGCTCTGCCCCCTGCGCTTTGCCCCCACCCCCTGCTCTACCCCCAGCTCTGCCCCCTGCCCCCTGCCCTCTGCCCTCTGCCCCCACCCCTGCTCTGCCCCCAGCTCTGCCCCCTGCCCTGCCCCCACCCCCTGCCCTGCCCCCAGCTCTGCCCCAACCCTGTCCTGGCCCCCAGGCCTGTGCGGGAACTTCAACGGCCAGGAGTGCGATGACTTCAAGACGGCCAGCAGGCTGGTGGAGGCCACTGGGGCCAGCTTCGCCAACTCCTGGAAGGCCCAGGCGAGCTGCCGAGACAAAGGAGACTGGCTGGACGACCCCTGTTCTCTCAACATCGAGAGTGGTGAGCGCCCCCCCTCGCCCCGACTGTTGGCCCGGGGCCCTCGCGGCCTCACCAGCAGCTGCGGTTCCGGTGGACATGCGTGTGGGTGCGGGAAGCGGCATGGCCTGCCCCGCCAGGCCCGCCCCTCCACCTGCTGCCGTGCGGCCGGTTTATGATGGCCACTGAGGCAGCCCGGGCAGAGGGGCTGGGCCTGCTGATGGCTGGGCGGTGGCCTCCTAGGGGCTGGCCTGGTGCCAGGACATGTGCCCTCCCATCCTCCATGCCACCCCCTGCCTGGGAGGGTAAGAGACAGGAGGTGGTGGGCACCTCTGCATGTCCTGGGCTGACTGACCTGGAGGGACGGGGCTGGGCTGGGCCCACGAAGGGGACAGTGTCCTCCCCAGCCGGGGACCTGCGGAAGGGGCCACCCCCACTGAGGTTCTCACCCCTCTCTAGCCAACTACGCCGAGCACTGGTGCTCCCTACTGAAGAAGGCGGAGACCCCCTTTGGCAGGTGCCATTCCGCTGTGGACCCTGCAGAGTACTACAAGGTGGGTCGGACCCACCACGCTCTCCCCACCTGCCCAGCCCGGCCCTGCCGTGTGCTCTGTGCAGCTGGCTGGGCCCAGGGCTGCTGCCGAGAGTTCCTGAGTGTGAGCGTGTCCACATGTGTGCACATATGTAGTGCATGTGCGTGCATGCATGTAGTACACTGTGGGCATGTACCCATATGTGTTCATGCACGTAGTGCACATGGCCATGTGTACATGTATGTAGTACAATGCGGGTGTGTGTCCACGTGTGTGCACACATGTAGTGCCTGTGTCCAAGTGTGTGCATGCATGTAGTGCTGTGTGGGCATGTGCCCACGTGTGTGCATGTAGTGCACATGTCCATGTGTGCGTACATACATGTAGTGCATGTGTCGAGGTGTGTGCATGTATATAGTGCAGCGTGGGTGTGTGTCCACGTGTGTGCACACATGTAGTGCATGTGTCCATGTGTGCATGTATGTAGTGCAGCATGGGTGTGTGTCCACGCATGTCTGAGTGCTCACACCTGTCGGGCCAGTTCCCAGCCTCCTTCCCTCCTCCACGCAGAGGTGCAAGTACGACACGTGCAACTGTCAGAACAGCGAGGACTGCATGTGTGCCGCCCTGTCCTCCTATGCCCGCGCCTGCGCCGCTCAGGGCGTCATGCTGTGGGGCTGGCGGGAGCTCGTCTGCAGTGAGTCCCGTCCCCAGGCTTGGGGGTCCCGGTTCCATGGGGGCTGGTCCTTGACTCACCCACGGGCCCTGTGGCCATTCCTCCTGAGCTGGGGGCCCGGGGGGGGGGTAAGCCTGTTGCCGCCGGACGCGGAGACTCCCAGCGTCCTCTGCTGGGAGGGTCCCGGAGCTGTGGCCGCAGCCTGTCGGCTCAGACGGAGGCGTGGGGGTGTGCTTGGGTGCCCTGGCGGGGGTGCTCCTGGGCACCGGGCTGGGCGTGTGTCCTCCCGGCCGTCCCGGGCCCGGCTGCGGGGGTCTCAGGGCCGCCAGGGTGGGAGCGTCCCTCCCGCCCCTCACGAGGCCCCTCTCCGCAGACAAGGACGTGGACTCCTGCCCCAAGTCGCAGGTCTTCCTGTACAACCTGACCACCTGCCAGCACACCTGCCGCTCGCTGTCCGAGGGCGACACCCACTGCCTCCAGGGCTTCGCGCCCGTGGACGGCTGCGGCTGCCCCGACCACACCTTCCTGGACGAGAAGGGCCGCTGCGTGCCCCTGGCCAAGTGCTCCTGCTACCACCGCGGCCTCTACGTGGAGGCTGGGGAAGTGATCCTGAGACAGGAGGAGCGATGGTGTGTGGGGGCGGGGGGTTGGCGGGGGCCCTGCCTGGGGCGGCTCGGCTCGGAGGGCTCACAGTCCCGCCTCTCCCCACAGCGTCTGCCGGAACGCCAGGCTGCACTGCACGCAGGTCAAGCTGATCGGCCAGAGTACGTGAACCCGCCTCCGCGTGGCCCCCTCCCCTCGCCTGCCCGCCCCCTCCACCTTCAGGGAGCTGAGGCGACCCCTCTGCCCCACAGGCTGCGAGGCCCCGAAGATTCACATCGACTGTAACAACCTGACCGCACTGGCCACCCGGAACCCCCACCCCGTCAGCTGCCAGACGCTGGCTGCCGGCTCTGTGGGTGCTGGGCAGGGCACGGACGGGAGGAGTGGGCCCAGGGGTGGGCCCAGGGAGAGGGGTCAGGGTGGGCCGGGGACACCAGGGTGCCTGCAGTGTCAGATGGCAGCCAAGGGCAGGGCGGCCTGGCACTGACCCTCACTGTCTGCTGCCCCCAGTACCAGACAGAATGCGTTAGTGGCTGCATGTGCCCTGAGGGGCTGCTGGACGATGGCCGTGGGGGCTGCGTTAAGGAGGAGGGATGCCTGTGTATGCACAACCAGGACCTGTACGCCCCCGGGGACAAGATCAAAGTGGACTGCAACACCTGGTACGTGGCCTGGCCCTGCCGACCCTCCCCAAACCCTCCGAGGGAGGCAGGGCCTCCTCCCCTTGGGCTCTGCGGTCCCCCACCTGGCTGGCAGGGTCCTGGCTGGAGTGGGGGCGCCGGACGGCACTTTTGGGTTGGTGAGGGCTTGCAGGTGTCATGCTGGGGAGTGTCCACACAGCGAGGGGTCCGGCGAGGCCACCCTCCGAGCAGGGCTGGGAGGATCTGCAGCCCTTCCAGGCCTTTGTCTCCCTCCCCTCAGCACCTGCCAGAGGGGGCGCTGGGCCTGCACCCAGAACGTGTGCCACGGCACCTGCACCATCTATGGGAGCGGCCACTACATCACCTTCGATGGGAAGTACTACGACTTTGACGGACACTGCTCCTATGTTGCTGCTCAGGTGAGACCCAGGGCCCCTGCAAGCCCGCCCTGTTCCCTGTCCCCTCTGCTGGCCCTTTGGGCTGTCAGCCCCGTGACAGGCCTGGGGGAGCGGTCCTTCCTCCGCAGCCCGCCCTGGGTCCTGGGGGCGGTGGTCCACGGGCACCAGGGCTCGTGGGGGTGCTCAGGGCCCTCGGGCGGCATGTTATCTGCTCCCAACAGCAGAGGGACTGAAGGTCAGCGGGGTGGGTGCCCAGGGTACCTGTGCCCGCTGGCTCAGCTCACGCTCCCCGTGGGCCCCCAGGACTACTGTGGCCAGAACACCTCACTGGGCTCCTTCAGCATCATCACTGAGAACGTTCCCTGTGGCACCACGGGTGTCACCTGCTCCAAGGCCATCAAGATCTTCATTGGGGTGAGTGCTCCCCCCCGGGGTCGCGTGGATTCTGGGAGAACCTGGATCAGGCTGGTGACCGGCGTCTCCCCTGCGCACAGAGGACAGAGCTGAAGCTGGAAGACAAGCACCATACTGTGATCCACCGTGACGTGGGCCAGCACGTGGCCTACACCACGCGCGAGGTGGGCCAGTACCTGGTGGTGGAGACCAGCACCGGTATCATCGTCATCTGGGACAAGAAGACCACCATCTTCATCAAGCTGGCCCCCTCCTACAAGGTGCGCCGCCACCCCTGCCCGCCCGGCCCCTGCAGGCCCCCCGCCCTGGGCTGCCCTGGAGGTCCTCGCTCGCCTGTCCTTGCAGGGCACCGTGTGCGGCCTGTGCGGGAACTTTGACCAGCGCTCCAACAACGACTTCACCACGCGAGACCACATGGTGGTGGACAGCGAGCTGGACTTTGGGAACAGCTGGAAGGAAGCCTCCACCTGCCCAGACGTGACCACCACCCCCGAGCCCTGCACCAAGAGACCGCACCGCCGCGCCTGGGCCGAGAAACAGTGCAGCATCATCAAAAGTCAGGTCTTCAGCATCTGCCACAGCAAGGTGGGTGTGTCCGCAGGTGTGGCCGTGGCTGTGGGCGTGGCCATGGGCGTGGCAGGCCAGCCTCCCGCAGGCTCCGTGTGCACCTGGGGGTCCTCCTTCCAGTCGCCACGAGATGCCTTTCCTCCAGTTTCCTCTCCATCCTCTGTGTTCTTTGAACATGTGACCAGATGTGAAACCTCCCTTCTGAGACCCCTGGCTGGACCCCCAGCCTCCTGTACCTTCCAGGGTGGGGGAAAGGAAATACCCCCCTAACACCCAGATGGTCCGGCAGTGCAGGGCTGAAGGACAGGCCCTCCATCTCTGGGCCTCCCCCGTCAGCCCCCCGGAGCCCCGGGAGGCCAGTGCTGGGTGGCGTGCCATGTCCCAGGAGCAGGGCCGGCGTGGGCCCTGTGTTCTGGGGCCTGCAGGGGGAGGCCTGCCTCAGGAGGCCAGCATGGGCCCAGGCACACGGTGGCTTCTCCCCAGGTGGACCCCAAGCCCTTCTACGAGGCCTGCGTCCATGACTCCTGCTCCTGTGACAGCGGCGGGGACTGCGAGTGCTTCTGCTCCGCCGTGGCCTCCTACGCCCAGGAGTGCACCAAGGAGGGCGCCTGCGTGTTCTGGAGGACGCCCGACCTGTGCCGTGAGTGCCGCCCGCCCCCCTGCCTGCCGCCCTTCCCGGCCCACGGCCTCCGGCCCGCGTCTGACCCCGCCCTGCCCCGCAGCCGTGTTCTGCGACTACTACAACCCTCCGGATGAATGCGAGTGGCACTACGAGCCCTGCGGGAACCGCAGCTTCGAGACCTGCAGGACCGTCAACGGCATCCACTCCAACATCTCCATGTCCTACCTGGAGGGTGCGTCTGCGGGGCTGGGGCCCCAAGCTCCAGGGCGGGCCAGGCTCACCTGCGGCGGAAGGTGGTCACTGGACAGGGACTCGGAGCCGGAGCGGAGACCTGCCCTGGGGGTGGGGGCAGGGCCAACAGGCTAGCACCCAACCTGCAAGGTCGTGGGCAAAGGGCGGAGGAACGGGCAGGGCAGGGAGCGGTTCAGAGGATGGATTGGGGGGCCTTTGAGTTGAGAACAGACAGACATGAAGGAGTGACAGATACTCCAGGTCCAGGGGTCAGTGGGGTGAAGCAGGCAGGCAGGTCCTGGCTGTCCATCACAGGTGGGCGGGGCCAGGCTGCCCCCTTGGGCCTGGCAGTGTTCCAGACTCAGCTGGGGGATGGAGCTAGGCCCCTGCCTTTGCAGAGAGAGGGACCTGCCACGGTGTCGACAGCGGGGGGGGGGGGGTGTCCTGTGGATGTGGTTCAAGCCCAGTGCCCTGTGCCCCCCAGGGTGCTACCCCCGGTGCCCTACGGACAAGCCCATCTATGACGAGGACCTGAAGAAGTGTGTCACGAAAGACCAATGCGGCTGCTACGTGGAGGGCTCCCACTACCCTCCTGGAGCGTCCGTTCCCCCCAAGCACGAATGCGAGTCCTGGTACGTAAGCTCACATCCCTGGGGGCTGGGGCGGTCAGCACACACAGGCACACGTGTGCACACGGGAGCCAGGGCATGGGACACTGTTCTCTCCTGGCCTCTCCGGCTGGCTTTTGCCTGCCTCGGCCCTGCCCCAACTCTGCCCACTGTTAGACCCGTTGGGCTGGTTGTTTGGGGGCTGTGCCCTGGGGCTCTGGGCTGCGCTGGGTGCAGGACAGGCTGGTGTCCAGACCTGCAGCCCTTGTACTTGCCTTGCAGCGTGTGTAGCAGCTCCTCGAAAGTCTGCCAGTGGGAGGAAGGTGAGCTGCTCCCTGTGGCTGCCCCCTGTGGCTGCCCCTCTGTGGCTGCCCCCTGTGGCTGCCCCTCTGTGGCTGCCCCCTGTGGCTGTCCCCTGTGGCTGTCCCTGTGGCTGCCCCCCTGTGGCTGCCCCCCTGTGGCTGCCCCCTGTGGCTGTCCCTGTGGCTGCCCCCCTGTGGCTGCCCCCCTGTGGCTGCCCCCTGTGGCTGCCCCTCTGTGGCTGTCCCCTGTGGCTGCCCCCCCCTGTGGCTGCCCCCCTGTGGCTGCCCCCCTGTGGCTGCCCCCTGTGACTGCCCCCTGTGGCTGCCCCCCTGTGGCTGTCCCCTGTGGCTGCCCCCTGTGGCGGTCCCCTGTGGCTGCCCTTCTGTGGCTGCCCCCTGTGGCTGTCCCCTGTGGCTGCCCCTCAATGGCTGCCCAGAGAGCCTGTAGGCTGTGTCCCCGGACTCCTGGGGCTGGGCCCTGGTGGGTGGCTGGTCTTCTCCTGGGGGTCCTTCGCACCCAGGGCCTCTCTGTTCTGCAGCATCCCCCGGGCGGCTCCCACCTCATGCTACGTTTCCCTGGATGGGGAGCCTGGGACCCTCCTGGGACGCAGCCTCTGAGTTCTGATGGGGCCTTTAGGGTCTAGGGATGGGGTTCCAATGGGGCATTGCTTTGCCATGGTAGGACCCCCGCCTTTCCCTTCCTGGGACGGGCCAAGGGCTCTTGTTCCCTATGTGTTGATGTCGGTCCTCCTGTCCCCCAGGGAAAATTCTCAATTACACCCAGAACGGTGCCTTCTGCTACTGGGAGATCTGTGGCCCCAACGGGACGGTGGAGAAGCACTTCAACATCTGTGTGTCCACCCCGACCCCTGTCTCCTCCTCGACGCCTCCCACCACGACCCCGGTGCCCACCACCACCACCACCACCACCACGCCCTCCCCTCCCATCTCCAGCACAGGTGAGGTCCAGCACCATGCACCCCTTACCTCTGGGCTCCCGCCTGCGGCTGCACCCGGAGCCAGCGGGAGTGGCCCTTCGGGGACAGGAGAGGGCTTGCGTGGCGGGGTCCCACCTCGGCTCACAGGCGGGAGGGGATGCCAATGTGCCTCTGGACTCAGGGAATGAATGTCCCCGGGGCCCCCAGCCTTGTGAGTTGAGACGCCAGCGTCATGACCGCGCTCCTGAGCCCAGACCATAGTGACGGCCAGCGGGAAATATCTGATCGGCTCAATGTTAGAAAATATCAGGATATTGGAAATATTCTAAAACCAGCAAGAAATGTCCCTGTGGGTTAGAGAAAGCAGAGCAGTGACCTCACATCCCTCTGCACGGCTTCGGGTCGAAAGTGCAGCCACCGCTGGGCAGGGCAGCCGCGGCAGAAAGAAACCCGTCACAGTGAAAGTGGTTCGTGGGTCTCAAACTCTGTAATGACACGCCTTTCTCCTCATTCCCGCAGTGTCGACCCCGCCTTCGACAACTCCGAGTAAGTGAACGGGCGTTCGCGCGGCGGTAGGCGGGCGGCGCTGACACCCGACAGGGGCCGGCCGCCCAGCTCTCTGCTTGGGGACCGCGAGGTGCAGGGACTTGGCCAGCTCCGGCTGAGAACGTGTTGGTCGAGCCGAGACCAAGCCCCTTCCACGTGCTTCGTCACCAGAATGGGTGACCCTTAGTTACTGATGTGTCCAGCACAGGGTTGGACCACAGCTGACAGAGGGGCCTCCGGCTGGCTCTGCCGCCCGGGCCTGTCCCCTGCTGTGGTGCTGGGCTGCTCTCCCCTCGTTGGGCCTCTGTCGCCTGCAAGAGGAGGTGACTGTGGCGTCCAGCCCCAGCTCTCTGAGCCCACCATCTGGGCCGTTCCAGGGCAGGGGCAGCGGGTCATGGGGTCTCTGGTCCCAGGGACCCCCCTGGAAGGTGCCGCTTTAGGCATAGATGACCAAGGCCGGGCCTTGCTTCCCTAGAGCTGTGCTGCTTCTGGTCGGACTGGATCAACGAGAATCACCCGAGCCCCGACCCTGACGGTGGTGATCGAGAGACATTCGAGGGTGTCTGCCAGGCCCCCGAGGACATTCAGTGCAGATCGGCCACGGACCCCACCCTCAGCTGGGAGCAGCTGGGCCAGAAGGCCCAGTGCAGCGTCTCGGTGGGCTTCCTGTGCAAGAACGAGGACCAGTTTGGAAGTGCGCCGTTCGCCATGTGCTATGACTACGAAATCCGTGTCAACTGCTGTCTGCCAATGGACGTGTGTCCCACGACGGTGCCCACGACCACCACCACCACCTCAACAAGCACCCCCACCCCAACCACGACCCCCACTACCACCTCTACAGAGACCCCAACACCAACCCCACACCCCACCACCACCACCACTGAGATACCAACCACAACACCCACCACCACAGTGACCACCACACCCACCATCTCTCCAACTACCCCCACCCCAGAATCGACGACCACACTGACGACCACGACTACAACATCCACAGCAACATCAGTGCCCACGAGCACGTCCACAGGACACACTACGTGCCTGGATGACTGCAGGTGGATGGGCTGGCAGGATTCTGGGAAACCGGACTTTAGCAAACCAGGTGGAGACACTGAGTTCATCGGGGACACCTGCCAGCCGGGCTGGGCAGCCAACATCTCCTGCAGAGCTGCGATGTACCCGAATATTCCCATCGAGCAGCTCGGACAGACTGTGGTGTGCGACCTCTCAGTTGGGCTGGTGTGCAAAAACCAAGACCAGAGGCCAGGTGGAGTCATCCCTCAGCCCTTCTGCCTCAACTATGAGATCAACGTCTACTGCTGTGGGTACTGTGTCCCCACCCATAGCAGCACCACCACCATCACCACCACCACTAAGACACCAACCACGACACCTCACACCACTACCACCGCCACTGAGACACCAACTTCGACACCCACCACCACCTCTACAGGGACCCCAACTCCACCTCCCTCCACCACCACCACCATTGAGACACCAACCCCACACTCCACCACCACCACCACCACCACTGAGACACCAACCACGACACCTCACACCACTACCACTGCCACTGAGACACCAACCACGACGCCCACCACCACCACCATTGAGACACCAACCCCACACTCCACCACCACCACCACCACCACTGAGACACCAACCACGACACCTCACACCACTACCTCTACAGAGACCCCAACTCCACCTCCCTCCACCACCACCACCACCGAGACACCAACCACGACACCTCACACCACTACCACCACCACTAGGACACCAACCACAACGCCCACCACCACCTCTACGGAGACCCCAACTCCACCTCCCTCCACCACCACCACCACCGAGACACCAACCACGACACCTCACACCACTACCACCGCCACTGTGACACCAACCACAATGCCCACCACTACCTCTACAGAGACCCCAACTCCACCTCCCTCCACCACCACCACCACCGAGACACCAACCACGACACCTCACACCACTACCACCGCCACTGAGATACCAACCACAATGCCCACCACCACCTCTACAGAGACCCCAACTCCACCTCCCTCCACCACCACCACCACTGAGATACCAACCACGACACCCACCACCACCTCTACAGAGACCCCAACACCAACGCCGCACCCCACCACCACCACCACTGAGATACCAACCACGACACCCACCACCACAGTGACCACCACACCCACCACCTCTCCAACTACCCCCACCCCAGAATCGACGACCACACTGACGACCACGACTACAACATCCACAGCAACATCAGTGCCCACGAGCACGTCCACAGGACACACTACATGCCTGGATGACTGCAGGTGGACGGGCTGGCAGGATTCTGGGAAACCGGACTTTAGCAAACCAGGTGGAGACACTGAGTTCATCGGGGACACCTGCCAGCCGGGCTGGGCAGCCAACATCTCCTGCAGAGCTGCGATGTACCCGAATATTCCCATCGAGCAGCTCGGACAGACTGTGGTGTGCGACCTCTCAGTTGGGCTGGTGTGCAAAAACCAAGACCAGAGGCCAGGTGGAGTCATCCCTCAGCCCTTCTGCCTCAACTATGAGATCAACGTCTACTGCTGTGGGTACTGTGTCCCCACCCATAGCAGCACCACCACCATCACCACCACCACTAAGACACCAACCACGACACCTCACACCACTACCACCACCACCACTGAGACACCAACTTCGACACCCACCACCACCTCTACAGGGACCCCAACTCCACCTCCCTCCACCACCACCACCATTGAGACACCAACCCCACACTCCACCACCACCACCACCACCACTGAGACACCAACCACGACACCTCACACCACTACCACCGCCACTGAGACACCAACCACAACGCCCACCACCACCTCTACAGAGACCCCAACTCCACCTCCCTCCACCACCACCACCACCGAGACACCAACCACGACACCTCACACCACTACCACCGCCACTGAGACACCAACCACAACGCCCACCACCACCTCTACAGAGACCCCAACTCCACCTCCCTCCACCACCACCACCACCGAGACACCAACCACGACACCTCACACCACTACCACCACCACTGAGACACCAACTTCGACACCCACCACCACCTCTACAGGGACCCCAACTCCACCTCCCTCCACCACCACCACCATTGAGACACCAACCCCACACTCCACCACCACCACCACCACCACTGAGACACCAACCACGACGCCCACCACCACCACCATTGAGACACCAACCACGACGCCCACAACCACGTCTACAGAGACCCCAACTCCACCTCCCTCCACCACCACCACCATTGAGACACCAACCCCACACTCCACCACCACCACTACCACCACCACTGAGACACCAACCACGACACCTCACACCACTACCTCTACAGAGACCCCAACTCCACCTCCCTCCACCACCACCACCACCGAGACACCAACCACGACACCTCACACCACGACCACCACCACTAAGACACCAACCACAACGCCACTCACCACCTTCTACAGAGACCCAACTCCATTTACACCTCCCTTCCACCACCACACCACGCGAGACCCCACCAACGACACCCTCACCACTACCACCACGCCACTGGGAGACACCAACCACAAACACCCACCACCACCACTGAGACACCAACCACGACACCCACCACCACCTCTACAGAGACACCAACCACGACACCTCACACCACTACCACTGCCACTGAGATACCAACCACGACGCCCACCACCACCTCTACAGAGACCCCAACTCCACCTCCCACCACCACCACCACCACTGAGACACCAACCACGACTCCCACCACCACCACCATTGAGACACCAACCCCACACTCCACCACCACCACTGAGACACCAACCACGACACCCACCACCACCTCTACAGAGATACCAACCACGACGCCCACCACCACCACCATTGAGACACCAACCCCACACTCCACCACCACCACCTGAGACACCAACTCCACCTCCCACCACCACCACCACCACTGAGACACCAACCACGACACCTCACACCACTACCACCGCCACTGAGACACCAACCACGACGCCCACCACCACCACCACTGAGACACCAACCACGACACCTCACACCACTACCACCGCCACTGAGATACCAACCACGACGCCCACCACCACCACCATTGAGACACCAACCCCACACTCCACCACCACCACCACCACCACTGAGACACCAACCACGACACCTCACACCACTACCACCGCCACTGAGATACCAACCACGACACCCACCACCACCACCATTGAGACACCAACCCCACACTCCACCACCACCACCACCACCACCATTGAGACACCAACCCCACACTCCACCACCACCACCACCACCACCACTGAGACACCAATCACGATGCCCACAACCACCTCTACAGAGACGCCAACACCATCCCCGCACTCCACCACCACCACCACCACCACTGAGATACCAACCACGACACCCACCTCCACAGTGACCCCGACCACCACACCCACCACCAGCACAGAAACCCCAGCCCCTACAAGCACAACACCCACTCATAAGACCACCACACCAAAACCTCCGCTTGAGTCCTCCTCCCCTCCAGTATCTCAGTCTACCTCCCCCTCGTCCGCGGAGTCAACCACGCCTCCTACCACCCCTCCGACAACTGTGAAGACAACCAGCACACCTTCACCGCCCCTGGGAAGCAGCTCTCCTGGCAGCACCCCTCCAGGTACTCAGACGCCTTGCAGCCAGCATGGCAGCCAGCGACTTGCTCATGGTCCCTGGTCACCCCAGGGGAACTTTGCAGCTCCTCAGACCCAAGTCAGGGGTGCCCTCCTCTGTCCAGTGAGAACCGTCCCCAGGAGGGTTCTGGCAGGCTGGGCGTGCCTGGTGCCTGCTGAGCCCAGCCAGTGAGTAGCCAGGGAGCTGCTGACCGTTGGCTGGCACATGGGCAGCAGAGCCAAAGGTTCCTGTTTGCCGCACAGCGTGATTTCCTCGGGCACAGTGCCTTCAGCCCACACCCCTCAGCCAGCTGAGTGATGGGCCATGTGGCCAGGTGGTCTGGAGGGAGCCCAGGGAGGCATGTGGGGCCAGGGCTGGGTGGAGTGCAGAGGCTGCCAGTCAGGTGTCCCAGGAGGCCCTTCTGCTGGCCCTGGGGCAGGCGTGTCACCCCGGAGGCCTCCCCATGACAGACACGTGGACCGAGGGCCCTGCTCACCCTGACCTACCTTAAGATGGGCAGCAGGGCAGTGGGTGTGAGCCTTCCCTGCCAGGTGCTGCACCTTGGGTGATGCCACCAGCCCCCCTCTAACCTCCATTCTCTCAGGCTCGCAGACCTCAGGTTCCACCTCCCCAAAGACCACCCCCACCAGCAGAACCACGACTGGGCCCCCCTCGCCCTCCTTGAAACCCCTGTCCACACCCACACCCACACCCAATCCCATGACGTTGTCAACGACTACCACGGGAACCTCTACCCCAACAGGACGCCCATCGACCACGCCGCCCACACCGCCTGCGCCCCCGTCCACCAGCACTTCAACCCGCACGCCCACCCCCACGGTGACCCCGATATCCACCCCCGGCCTGATCAAATGCTGCGTTTTGAATGACACCTACTATGCACCAGGTACCCAAGCGTTTTTCTTCGGATTCTCAAGCAACAGGCGGGTGGGGCTTTGGTCTGTGTTCACCTGTGGCCAGGGCTCAGGTCCCAGGTCTAAACCAGGGGCTGCTCGGGGAGCCGCACGCTGGGTGGGTGGCTGTCTCTGTGGCCAGCTCCACTTTGCTGCGGCCACAAAACCGCTGCCCATAGGAGGTGGGCTCCCTCTGGGAACGCTGTGGGCCTGCCTGTGGGGTGGTACAGGGACTGCTCTGCCCCCTGCAGGTGAGATGGTGTACAACGGCACCCACGGAGACACCTGCTATTACGTGAACTGCTCCCTGAACTGCTCCTTCGAGATCTTCAACTGGTCCTGCCCGTCCACACCCACCCCAACGCCCACACCCTCCAAGCCGACACCCAGCTCAACCACGACCACGACCCAGCTGCCCGTCATATCAAGCACGCCAACCATCCCCAAGCCCCCCGGGTGCCCGGACTTCGATCCTCCCAGACAGGTCAGTGGGCTGTGGGCAGCTTCTGTCCCCTCAGCGCCGGATGCACCGTCTGGGTCTAAGCCACAGGGGCTGCCTTTCTGTCCCCCACGCCCTGAGCCGTCCCCGTACAGCCGAGCCTTCCGGGCACAGTGCCAGCTGGGGCTCTCCTGCCTTCTCGCCCGTGGCCACCTCGCCGTGACGAGATGACGCTGTCTCCCCAGTGGGCACCTGGGCTTCCAGCCTCCTGGCGAGGGCTAGGCACTCACCCGGGGCCTCACTAGCACAACCCGCCCACAGGAGAACGAGACCTGGTGGCTGTGTAACTGCACCAAGGCTGTCTGCAAGCATGACAACACCGTGGAGCTGGTGCAGGTGGAGTGCAAGCCTCCACCCATGCCCACCTGCTCCAACAACCTCACGCCCGTGCGTGTCCTGGATCCCGACGGCTGCTGTTGGCACTGGGAGTGTGACTGTAAGCGTGCCCATGCCGAGGCCCTCCCCGCCCCTCCCCCACCCCCCCTCCTGTGGTGGAGGCTGCAGGGCCCGAGGACCTGGGCGCAGGGCTTAGGGCCCAGGTTGGCCGCGCTGGCTGGACCAGCAGGCACAAGTCCCGAGGGCCTGCCCACGCCCCTGCTCATCCCATCTCAGGCAGAGGTCTGGCAGGGAGAGGGCCCATCGGGGGGCGCCTAACCCCCTCTGCGGAATGAGGCTACTTCCGAAACCAGAACTTCTGGTTCCAAAGCCAGGCCGTGTCCCATGGAAGGAGTGGGGCACTGTGGGCTGAAGGGGGAGATGACCTTTGGGGGCCGGAGGCGAAACCAGACCCTCCAGGCGTGGATGCCCAAGTGCTCTGGGAGCCAGACTTTTCCACCCCCGGTTCCCGCTCACTCCCCTCGCCTGCCCACACCCCAGCCCCAGTTCGGGGCTCTGCACTGGCTCACCCCCGCTCCCTCCGCAGGCTACTGCACGGGCTGGGGGGACCCGCACTACGTCACCTTCGATGGGCTGTACTACAGCTTCCAGGGCAACTGCACCTACGTGCTGGTGGAGGAGATCGCGCCCACCGTGGACAACTTCGGGGTCTACATCGACAACTACCACTGCGACGTCAACGACCAGGTGTCCTGTCCCCGCACGCTCATCGTGCGGCACGAGACGCAGGAGGTGCTGATCAAGACCGTGCAGATGGCGCCCATGAGGGTGCAGGTACGTCGCGGGGCCACACTGTGCCGATCCCCCTCGGGGGGAGGCCGGGCTGAGTCTCCCAGAGCCGGAATGGCAGAGGGTGGGGCGTTCAGGGACCCCTTGGATCCCCACTCAGACCCTTGCTGACCACCCTGAGCACCAGTCTCAGCGGCCGAGACCCTCCCCAAGGGAAAAGGCTAGGCACACCCCTGCACGGAATTGTGGGTCCCCAAGGCCTGGGGAGCCCTGCCCCTTACAAGGGCCCCCAGATCTCTGAGGGCTCCACAGGTGGCACCTTGCTGCCTTACCCTGGGACCAGGGGGACAAGGAAGAACGAAAGGGAACAGGACCAGGAGGGCACAGGCAGAGGTGCCCCGCGGTGTGGGAGGCTGAGGTGGGCACAGCCTGCCCTGCGTGTGAGGCCCCCTCTCAGAGGTGACCGGGCAGGCCAGGCTTCCAGCTGGGTGGCCGCCAGCCCCTGCCCCGCCGTCCCTGAGCCCAGGTGTGTCGGCCGCAGGTGCTGGTGAACAAACAGGCCGTGGCGTTGCCCTACAAGAAGTACGGGCTGCGGGTGTACGAGTCGGGCATCAACTACATGGTGGACATCCCCGAGCTGGGCGCGCTCATCTCCTACAACGGCCTCTCCTTCTCTGTCAAGCTGCCCTACCACTTGTTTGGCAACAACACCAAGGGCCAGTGTGGTGAGCCCGCCCGCTGGTGCCCCGCAGGGCCTGGGCTCCCGGGGGAGGGTGGGTGCAGAGTCCGGGCGTGCGCCCCGCCCTCCCGATGTGGGTCTCTGCTCCTCTGCTCGGGGACCCTGTGGCCATCATCCTGGGCTTGGCCCCTGCGGGAAGCCAAGAGGAGTCTAGTGTCTGTGCCCTGGGCCCTGGTGGCCGGTGACCGGGAGGCTGGGCTGCAGGAGCAGAGGGTCCCGGGCGCCCTCTGCTGGACAGCAGGGTCAGCACGCCCTTCTCGCAAACAGGCACCTGTACCAACAACACGGCGGACGACTGCATGCTGCCCAGCGGGGAGGTCATCTCGGACTGTGAGGTTGCCGCTGACCAGTGGGTGGTGAATGACCCCTCCAAGCCACACTGCCCCCACACCAGCTTCACCACCAGGCGCCCAGCCACCACACCCTCCGGGGGCAGCAGCACCTCCCCACACAAGAACTGCTCGTCACCTCTCTGCGACCTCATCAAGGACAGGTGACTGACCCCTGGCCCCCTGCTGCCTCGGTCACTAAGGAGCTGCAGGGTCTCCGGGAGCAGGCTCCCTCCTCTGCCCCCCGCCCCCCCCCCCACGTTGTCAGCAAGGGGAGAGGAGGCAGGGCCTGAGCGTGGGCTAGGGGGCCGGTGCTGGTTCCAGAGGGGCCCGGGACCCGGGCTCCTGCTTTCTGTGGGGCGGAGCTGCCTGGTCAGACGTCCCTCTGCTTGGTGCAGGGCAGACCGAGCTTGAAGCCTGGGGTAGACCAGTTGACCAGGATAGTCAGTGTTCAGGGCTGGTCTGAGGCAGGGTTGGGCTTGGATGGGGCGGTGGGGGGGGGGGGGCTACCGCCAAAGCTTGTAGGGAGTGAGTGCCTCATCCCCAGAGGTGTGCAAGTGGAGGCTGGGGAGCCCAGGGTTGCTGGAGGAGGCATACTGGCTGGCATACCTCTGACCCTCGGGTCACAGTGCTGGCTGACTTCCCTGAGCCCTCCCCCACCCAAGCCTCTAGGTGGGCAGCTCAGGGGTAGGCACTGGGTGGTGGGGGGAGTGAGAGACGGGGAGGGCCATTGGCCAGAACGTGACCCCTGTCCCTCCCCACAGCCTGTTTGCCCAGTGCCACGCCCTGGTACCCCCCCAGCACTACTACGATGCCTGCGTCTTCGACAGCTGCACTGTGCCCAACTCTGGCCTGGAGTGCGCCAGCCTGCAGACCTATGCAGCCCTCTGTGCCCACGAGGGCGTCTGCATCGACTGGCGGAACCATACCCACGGGGCCTGCTGTAAGTGCCCGCTGACCCCCGGGCCGGGCTGGGGTCCCGCTGGGCGCTGTGCTGGAAGCCAGGCCAGAGTGGGGTCCCCAGGCACACGTGGAGGCCAGGCTGGGGCGAGAGGGGCTGGGAGGGCCAGGGGTGCCGAGCAGGGCCGTGCCAGCAGCCCGCCACCCTCAGCTAATGTGTGGGAGTCCTTCGTGGGAGGGTCTGGGCAGGACCCCTCCTGACTCTGGCCCCTCTGATCACTGCCTCCCTCCGACAGCGGTGACGTGCCCGCCCCACAGGGAGTACCAGGCGTGTGGCCCTGCAGATGAGCCCACCTGCAAATCCAGGTCAGTTGTGGGGTGGCCACTGGCAGGGTGGGGCCCTGCTGCCTGTGCACGGTGCCCCAGGGTGCCCCAGGGTGCCCCTCCCCGAGCCGCCCGCATGCCCAGCTCACGGTGCCTTCCTGCCCTCCAGCTCCTCGCAGAACAGCACCGTGCTGGTGGAAGGCTGCTTCTGTCCCAAGGGCACCACGAGCTACGCCCCTGGCTTTGATGTCTGCGTGGAAGTGTGCGGTATGTCTCCCACTCACGTCCTCTCTCCTGCCCCGGGAGGCCGTGCCCGGTCCTTCTGCCCCCGGACTCTGCTCACAGGATTTGTCTCCTCTCTCCTAGGCTGCGTGGGACCCGACAATGTGCCCAGAGAGGTAGGCCGTGCTGGGGGGGGATTCTCCCACAAACCCTGAGTTTTGGGAGGGTGGGGGGTTGGACATGAGAACCTGGGAGCTCGAAGACTCAGTAACAAGTCATTGAAGTCCTTCAAAGCTTAGCTAGCAGGGATGTCCACCCATCCTGTCTGCGCCTCCAACAATTCCTTCCTTCCTCCTTTCACCCTGTCTGTTAGCCGGTCCCTCCATCCCTCCATTCCCAGATCTCTCCTGTACATCCATCCTTTCGCTCATCCACCCACCCATCCACCCACCCATCCATGCCTCCAACAATTCATCCACCCACCCACCTGTCCGTCCATCCATCCATCCATCCATCCATCCATCCATCCATCCATCCATACACCCCCCCACCCATCCATGCCTCCAACAATTCATCCACCCACCCACCTGTCCGTCCATCCATTCATCCATCCATCCATCCATCCATACACCCCCCCCACCCATCCATGCCTCCAACAATTCATCCACCCACCCACCCATCCATTCATCCATCCATCCATCCATCCACCCACCCACCCATCCATCCATCCATCCATCCACCCACCCACCCATCCATCCATCCATCCATCCATCCACCCCCCCCACCCATCCACCCACCCACCCATCATCCACTCACCCATCCACCCATCCATCCACCCATCCATCCACCCACTGTGCCCCCCGCCCAGCAGTCACACGATGCTCTGTCTCAACCTGAGCTGGGTCTTTGTCACCGTGTGGTGCTCTGTGTCTCCTGCACACACCTGGTAGACACATGTGGTTTGTCTGCCGCATGCCTGGCCCAGTAGGAAAATGCTGGTGGGCAGGTCATGGTTGTTTTATGAGTGGCCTGGCCCTGAATGACGACCACTGTCCTGGACCAGAACTGCCCGGTGTCTACGAGGTGGGAGGCACAGGTTTTCCCACAGGGCCGTCAGCGGGTGCCCGGCACAGTGCCCTCTGCCCACTGCCCTGCAGACACGGCACGGTGCAGCCCTGCGGCGTGGGGGGCACAGCTTTGTCCCTGCTCACCCCCTCCTCTCCACAGTTTGGGGAGCACTTTGAGTTCGACTGCAAGGACTGCGTCTGCCTGGAGGGGGGGAGCGGCATCGTCTGCCAGCCCAAGAAGTGCAGCCAGAAGCATCCCCCCAAGTGTGTCGAGGACGGCACGTACCTGGTCACGGAGGTGGACCCCTCTGATACCTGCTGCAACGTCACCTTCTGCAGTAAGGCCGCCCCGGGGGCAGGGGTTGGGCCTGGGCCCCTGGGGTCACTGAGCAAGCCCCCCATGCGTGTTTCCACCTCCCGGTGAGCTTGGGAGCCACCGGATGGGGTGCTGGGGGCGGGGCCTCGGGCGTGTCTGGCTGCGAGCGGGCACTGGGGGCGCTGTGCTCAGGACCTTGCCCGCGAGGGGCGTTAGCGTCATTCCGGCATCTCCCCCGCGCCCTCAGAGTGCAATGCCAGCCTGTGCAAGGAGCAGCCCCCGCTGTGCCCGCAGGGCTTCGAGGTGAAGAGCGAGATGAAGCCCGGGAGGTGCTGCCCCCTTTACTCCTGCGGTAAGAGGGCTGGGCGAGGGCGGGGCGAGGGCCGAGTGAGGGCCGTCTGAGACCCGGGGCTGGGTGGTGGTGTGACGGGGCGGCAGTGTGCAGGGGCTCCCTCTGGGGGTCCCACCCCTCCCAGGCCCTGGCACTCATGCCATCCACGGGCTGTGCCTCTGACCCGCGGTCCTGTTCTCTTTCTCCCAAGTGCCCAAGGGCGTGTGTGTTCTTGGGAACGCGGAGTACCAGGTGGGTGAGGGGCCTCACAGGGAAGGGGGGCCGCAGGGCTGAGGGGGGCCAAGGCCAGGCTCTGGGCTTGCCCGCCTCACATGCCCCTCCCTGTGCCCAGCCCGGCTCCCCGGTGTACTCAACCAAGTGTCAGAAATGTGTCTGCACCAACATCACAGACAGCGACACCCAGCTCAACCTTGTGTCCTGCAGCCACGTGCCCTGCAACACAACCTGCAGCCCCGTGAGTGCCCCGGCCCCCCCCCGGCTCTGAGCCCCTGTCCCCTAGGGGCCCCCAAATCCTGAACCCCTGTCCCCTAGGGGTCCCCCCAAATCCCTGAGCCCCTGTCCCCTAGGGGTCCCCCCAAATCCCTGAACCCCTGTCCCCTAGGGGTCCCCCCAAATCCCTGAACCCCGGTCCCCTAGGGGTCCCCCCAAATCCCCGAGCCCCTGTCCCCTAGGGGTCCCCCCAAATCCCTGAGCCCCTGTCCCCTAGGGGTCCCTCCCCCTCACACACCCTGAGCCCTTGTTCCCTAGAGGTCCCCCATACCCCTGAACCCCTGTCCCCTAGGCCCCCCAAATCCCTGAGCCCCTGTCCCCTAGGGCCCCCCAAATCCTTGAACCCCTGTCCCCTAGGGGCCCCCAAATCCTTGAACTCCTGTCCCCTAGGGGTCCCCCCAAATCCCTGAACCCCTTCCCCTAGGGGTCCCCCCTTAAATCCCTGAGCCCCTGTCCCCTAGGGGTCCCCCAAACCCCTGAGCCCCTGTTCCCTAGGGGTCCCCAAATCCCTGAACCCCTACCCCCTAGGGGTCCCCCAACACCTCTGAGCCCCTGTTCCCTAGGGGTCCCCAAATCCCTGAACCCCTGTTCCCTAGGGGTCCCCCAACACCTCTGAGCCCCTGTCCCCTAGGGGTCCCCCACACCCCTGAACCCCTGTTCCCTAGGGGTCCCTCCAAACCTCTGAACCCCTGTCCCCTAGGGCTTTTCACTGGTGGACGCCCCGGGCGAGTGCTGCCCGAAGTGCCAGCAGACACACTGCGTCATCAGCAGGCCAGGCGGGGAGCCCCTCTTGCTGAAGGTGCGGTAGGGGGGCCCCTCTTCCTGGAGGTGCGGCGGGGGAGGCCCCACGGCAGGGTGGGGGTGCTCGCGCACTGTCCCCGTCCCCAGTGCCTGCCGGGGTGCGGGTGCCGGTGGTACGAAGTGGGCCCAGAGGGCTGAGAAGGCAGGACCCCGCGGCTGAGCCCCTCCAATGGCTCTGGGGAGGGTCCTCCCTGCGTCAAGGCTCCAGGTGTCCTGGGCTGGTGGCTACATTACCTGTTCGTGTCCCTGTGAGCACATGGTCCCCCCTCCCTCCGGGGGTCTTCTTTCATCTCTTATGAGACTTGTCACTGGATCTGGGGCCCGTCTGGTGACCCCGGGTGACCTCATCGCGAGCCCCTCCACTCAGTCACACCTGCCAAGACCCTTTTCTGAACAAGGTCCCCTCCGCAGGTTCCAGGGGTCAGGAGGTGAACGCGTCTCTGGGCTGCAGGCTGGGGGCTGTGCCCGGACCCCCCCGGGAGTCCCTGCCCGGCGGCTCTGGGCCTGCCGGCTGGACCTCCTGTCTGACAAGCTGCCCCAAGCTGGGCGGGGCTTTCCAGGGGACCCAGAGTCTGAGGCCTCACCACACTGTCCTCTGCCCCGCAGCCCGGGGATATGAAGGGTGACCCCAAGAACAACTGCACCTTCTTCAGCTGCGTGAAGATCCACAACCAGCTCATCTCGTCCGTCTCCAACATCACCTGCCCCGACTTCGACCCCAGCGCCTGCGTCCCGGTGAGCCGCCCTCGGTGCTGGCTGCGTGTGCTCCCTGGGGGTGGCCCCTGTTCCCGGAGGGCTGGTCCCCATCTGGACGGGGGCCTCTATCTCGGGTCCCTCTGTAGGACTGTCCATTCTGGGGCATTCCCTGCTGGGGGCGGTCTGGGGTCCTGACTCCCACTCCTTCCCTGCAGGGCACCATCACCTTCATGCCCAACGGCTGCTGCAGGAAGTGTGAGTAAGGCCTGGGGGGTGGGCTCCGGGCCCCTCCAGGGAGGAAGGCACAGGGTGGCCCCAGGAGCCACCTCAGGCGGGGGACAAGTCTGGTCGGCTGCCCAGCTGCTCCAGGACCCACAGGCAGTGGGTCTCCTGGGCGGCGTGGGGACCCCTCCCAATCCTCTGCCTCGCGTCCCCCAGGCATCCCTCGCAATGAGACCAAGATCCCCTGCTCCACTATCCCCATGTCCAAGGAGATTTCGGATGGCGGCTGCTCCGCGAGGGTCAACATGAATTACTGCTCCGGATCCTGTGGGACCTTTGCCATGTGAGTCTCAGGCCGAGGGTGGGGGCGGCGGGGGCGCGGCGCCCCGGGAGCGGCCCTCATCGCGGTGCGCCCGCAGGTACTCGGCCGAGGCGCAGGGCCTGGACCACAAGTGCTCGTGCTGCAAGGAGGAGCGCACCAGCCGGCGCCAGGTGCAGCTGCACTGCCCCGACGGCACCTCCCGGCCGCACACCTACACGCACATCGAGAGCTGCCTGTGCCAGGACACCCTGTGCGAGATCCCGCTGGCCCGGCGCCGGCCCCCCAGCCGCGGCCGCCGCTCTGGGTTCCCGGACCTTTCTCCGAGCAGGGGCTGAGTGGGTGGGCACCTGCCCAGGCCCCACCTCCACCACCCTGCGCCCCTGCAACCTGCTGATTCTCTGAACTTCCTGCCTTCCTCTCTACGGATATTTATTTTCCGAGCCTTTGTTCAGTCTTTTCTGTGCTTTCCAAAATAAACTCAGGCAGAGACCGTATGGGTGTGCTTCACTGGGTGCCGCCGGGTCCGGGTGGGCTGCTCCAGGGGCCCGTGCTTCCCGAAGGCCCAGAGAGGGCCCCTCACCCCCAGGGGGCCGGTCACCAGGCTCCACACACAGGACACGGGACACCATGCACAGGAGCCTGGCTTGGCTTTGGCTAACTTCATGTACAAAAGGGGACCTGCCAGTGACCACCTCCCCAGGTTGCCCCCGAAAACCCCATCTCACCTTGTGCTGCTTTTGTGCGCTCCCTGGTTGGGTCCTCAAGGGGCAGGCAGCCGCTTCCAGGAAGCCCTCCGGCCCTGAACTGTGAATGGACTCTGGGTTCTTGTCACAGCCACATCCAGGGCGCATGGTGAGGCTCCCACCCCACGGCTGTGGGCAGGAGTGCGTGTGCACATGTGTGACTTGTGTGTGAACACATGTGCCTTGTGTGTGTGCCTCATGTGTGTGCACATGCGTGACGTGTGTGAGTATGCATGTGTGTGACTCACGTGTGCACACGCGTTACTTGTGTGTGTGTGCACGTGCATGTGACCATGTGTGTGCACATGTGCAAGTGTGCGTGTGTGGCTTGTATGTGCATGTGCATGTGTGAAACTCGTGTGTGGGTGTGCACGTGTGTGTCGCTTGTGTATGTGCACGTGTGTGACTCGTGTGTGTGTGGACATGTGTGCGGCCGTGTGTGCGTGTGCACATAGAACAGACCTCACGTCTGAAACCGGAATAACTGACCCCAGGATCCCTCGAAAGCGGCCCAAGGAAAGGAAACTGGACACATGTCACTTGGTAGCCCAGATGCCAGCATCTGAGGAAGGCACCGCCCTTTCAGAAGCAGAAATGACGCCACGGTGGGGCGTGTGCTTGTCTGCCCAGGACACTGGTTTTGGTGTGGGGCTGGTGCCCTCCACCTCCCCCACCCACCCAGGGCACAGGCCGACTCAGAGAACCAGCTTTGAAAAAAGAAACAGGAGTCACCTGCTCCCTCTTCCTCCCTGGGCTGACCCGCCCCGCTCCCTTCCCCACGGGGAGCAGCTTGTGTGCGTCTGGGCTGCCGCCGGGAGCTGCCTGGCTGGGGCGGGGGGTGCATAGCAGGAAGCATACGTACCCACAGCGTAGTCCATGGCCTCCAGCTTGGGTGTTATCTTTTTTTTATCCTTACTTGAGGACTTTTTTTTTTTTTTTTTTTTGCATTTATCTTCAGACAGAGCAGGAGAGAGGAAGAGAGAGAGAGAATCATCGATGTGAGAGAGACACATCAAGTGGTTGCCACCCAACCAGGGCCAGGACACACTACAACCGAGGTATGTGTCCTTAGAGGGAACCGAACCCTGGACTCTCTGGTCAGCGGGCCGACCCTCTAACCACTGAGCCAAACTGGCCAGGGCAATCATTTCTAAAATTATACTCGACCTGGGGCGGGGAGGTGGTGCCGTGTTGGAGGCCCCCCCGGACCCCAACAAGCGGAGCAAGTGGTCCACCCAGGAATTCAAGGATGGCTCACCAACAGAAATCTAACATAACAGTGCTGGGCTCTGTAGTGACAGTCACCAAAACCCCCAAACCTTAGTGACAACCAAGAGTTCTAACTCACGCGTGCTTTGTGTTTGCTACTGCTTGGCTGGTGCCCTGCTCCACGCCCTCTCGCTCCAGGACCTGGGGTGACTTCTGCCGCCTCAAAGGTGGCTGTTCGCCCGGTGGAGGGTCCTGCCAGGTGTCTGAACCCTCAGAGTGAAGGGTCACCTGGCTGCCCTGGGGCGGGGTTGCAATGCTGCGTGTGACCAGGAGGGGGAGCCAGCACACTAGTGAACTGCACCGCTGACCTAGGAGAAAAACGGACAGGTGTCGAGAAAACACCCAGTAAAAGTACACAGTGTGGGCGTGTGTGTGTGTGTGTGTGTGTGTGTGTGTGTGTGTGTGTTTAAGCAAACTAGAACGAAGGAAACATTCTTAACATGTTAAGGGGTATTTGTGAAAAAGAATTCCAGTGAATGTCAGAATGCTGGCTGGGACATGAGCTGTCCATGGAGCTTGGGGGGAGCCCCCCAAAGCCATAGAAGACTTGGGAAGGGACGACACCATCCCAAGTTCATGCCACTGTGATGCTCCAAGTGGAAAAACCCCCGAGAGATCACAGCTGTGCTCGGGGCCAAGTAGAGAGTCCGTAACATGGTTAATGAAGAAAAATGAGAAAACCAAGTGGAAAATACAACAGAGCCCTGGCCGGGCCACTCCATTGGTTGAGGCATTGTCCCTAGATACCAAGGGTTTGGGTTCGATCCCCAGTCAGGACACATACAAGAGTCAACCGGTGAGTGCAGAAATGAGTGGAACAACAGATCTCTCTCCCCCTCCCTCCCTTCCCCTCTCTCTAGAATCAATCAGTAGAAATAAAGAGAAAATACGACAGGACATGATGTCACTAGAGCAGCCACAAAACCTATGCAGATTCCTAAGAACAAATCACACAACACGTCCCAGGCCGTGAGGAGCAATTGCCTGTCTCCAGGGCACATCGGGAGAGCTTACTGAGCGCAGAGGCATGCTGTGCTCACGGATGGAGGATCCAGTTCTGAAAAACAAGATGAATCCCCACAGCCACGTAAACCCAGGGACGTGCCTCTCACAGCCCCAGGGTTCGTGGGCGTATGAGGCGGCTCGAACAGCCCACTCTAAGGCGAAGGGCAAAAAGAACTGAGAGGCCCGGCCGGTGTGGCTCAGTGGCTGAGCATCGACCCTGCACCAAGAAGTCACACGTTCGGTTCCCGGTCAGGGCACATGCCCAGGTTGTGGGCCCGAACCCCAGTGGGGGGCAGGCAGGAGGCGGCCGATCAATGTTCTCTCTCATCCATGTTTCTCTCTCTCCCTTTCCCTTCCTCTCTCTCTAAAATCAATAAAGAAGAAATAATTGGAAAAAAAAGAAGAACCGAGAGCTTTTCAACTCTTAAGGCACCGAGGGCTCGGTGCAGGGATAGGCAGGCAGGCAGATGGAACAGACCATGCGCTGTGGCAGTTACTGTGATGGGACGGTGGGCACACTGCGGGGAGGGGGACCTTCAGCAAATATGGCTGGGCCATGGTTTTCTTTTCTGTGGAGAAATCAAAACTTGGACTCCACTTCACAGCTCAAACTAAAGTCAGATACCTTGTGGACTCGAGAACTAGACGTGCAAAGCAAACCTTTTTAACTTTCAGGAGAAAATAAAGGCATACCACATGTGACCTCAGGGTCAGGGAGAATTTCCTAACCAAGTCCCGGAGATCATAGCCATAGTAAGAGTCAGGGTGGATGCAATGGACTGAGGACACTGTAACAACTTGTTTGGAAAAAGATGCGACAAAGTAACAACACGGTGACAGTGGAGGAGACCATGTGCATGCCTGCAACCCACCGAGAAGGGCCCGAGTCCAGAGACCTAAGGAACATTCACCATAAGCACAGCACCCAGATGGGCAGGCTCTGAGCAGGCAGGTCGCAGAGTTGGGCGGCCCGAGCCCCTCCCCTCCCCCATACACTGCGGCAAGGTCCAGATGGTCTCTGGGGTGGCCTTAATGCAAGTGACTGGGGTCTTCATAAGAAGAAGAGATCAGGACACAGACACACACAGAGGGGTGACCCTGCGGGGACACGGAGAGGATGGCCGTGCACACGCCAAGGAGAGAGGCCTCGGGAGGAGCCAGCCCTGAGACACCTGGGCCCGGACCTCCAGCCTCCAGGATGAGACAGGACGTGTCTGTAGGTCCAGCCGCTCAGCTCAGGACAACGTGGGACACTCACGAATGACAATCTCGAGAGGGGTTGACATCACCTTCATTTAATAGATGGCAAAACTGGCTGAAACAGGCTATCGACCATGGGTCACAGCTGTGCCCACCACACTGTCTGCTGGAGATGCTGGACCCAGAATGGGGCCACAGGGTCAAGGCCCGGGGCCACCCCTCAGGGTGCCTGCTCTGTCCCGGCCCGGAGCTGCATTCCCGCTCTCCCCAGCTCGGGAGCCTGCCGCCCTGCCCTCGAGACCAGACCCGTCGGCCCCCCCCACCCCGTGGACTTCTTTCCACCACGTGGCCCAGAGAGGCAGGGTGGTGGCTCCCCCAGCCGAGCCGCCCCCCGACATTATCAGTGATCATTTGGGCATTTTTCATCCCTAATCTTTTCGCATGTCAGCAGGCTTATCTAACGAGGCAGGGGCTATCACGGGGTAGCGCTGGCTGGCATTGGAGGAGCCCCTCCCCGTGGCCTGGGCTGGCCGTGTCCCCTCATCTGCAGCCATCCCTGGGCTGTCCCGAGAGCCAGGAAGGGGCTGCCAACTTGAAGCCAGCGTGTCCAGCATCAGCAAGCTGTCCAGTAGTTTTCCAATGTCTGGAAGGTGTGTGGGGGGACACAGACGGGCTCGGCTGCTGGTCTGCAGGGGACCCCATGTCCCACTGTGGCCCCTGAGTCCTGGCCAGACACCCCCCCCCAGGGAAGCCTGGGTGTGCCCCCCTACATGACCCAAACGGTCCCTCCATGGTTTGCAGAGTCAACCCCCACCTTTGCGTGAAGACTGAGCACCCCAGTGGGACCTGGAACGGTGCTGAGAACCTGCAGGGCCAGCCCCCGAGTGTGGGCCGTCCCCCTCTCAGCACCCCCAGCGCAGGGTGGGCGTCTGAGACCTCCCCGTGAAGGATGTAGGGACAGGGGCCTCGGGGGTCGGGGCACAGCCTGTGCCAGGACCCCTGCGCTCACAGCGGCCGCCTGTCTGTGAAACCAGAGCTCACATGAGACCTGACCCAGAGCAGCCACACTTGGCCAGACCGCAGGCACCTCAGAGCCTTTGGGCCATTGGCGCAGACGGGCCACGCTCCAGGCCACAGTTTACCGGGCCCCCTGCGCCCTCCCTAGGGTGGCGTGTTGGCGTGGCTCACTGATAAGCTGGGAGAGCCAAGGGTGCCCGTCCCCGTCCAACCTGTGGCCCTCACGTGGTTGGTGGGTTTCTG